AAATGTCATGTTTCCACAGCAATTATTTTATTTCTTAATCGAGGGAAAAGATAAGACAAAATTAATTTGCTCGGATGACCGGTGTAAATGGGTATATGAGAGCCGATTTCACGACCAATATCAGCCAATAGTCCAATATTTTGCCAATTAGTATTAGCAATAATAATGGCTCTAATTTTATTCCTGTTTTCTTTCAAATAATCACGACCGACTTGTTGTTCTTGGGAACCGATTAAGGAATAATCCTTGCCGGTGGCTAAAAGTAAAATATTTTTTTCGGACTCTAAGAGATAAAAATTACCCTCATTTTCTCAACGGCCACTAAAAAGTAAAAAGCGAATTGTCATGCTGGTAGTTTATGGTTTGTAATGTTTAATAGTAATTTGGTCGGAAAGTTTGACAATTTTATAAATTCTGGTTTTGTCAAAGGGAGAAGGCGCCATTGGCAAGTTATCTACCCCAGTTATTTGATAAAATTGGCAATCGGCGAAAGAAATATTGGCCGTGGTTGGATGGTCGCGTAAGATTAGTAAATCATAATCTTTTCCGTTTTCCTTGGCAGAAAGTCTTCAGGCATATCAATCACGCATGTTTGGGGTTTTTGATACCGTAATCGGCCAATAAAACAAATCCGAATGGTCGACCAATTTTTTGTCTATTTCCTTATTTAATTCAATATTTTTGTCTCGGCCTAAATCTCTTTTTTGCGTGATTAAACTAATTATTTCCTCATAGTCGGCAGTTTCTAGTTCAGTCGGTAAAACTTTTTTTTGATTATTATTCCGCAGAATAGCACCATCACGGCCAACCTTGTAGCCCAAACCTAAAACTTCGTCAACTTTGTTAGTGGTGACCGCTCTTTTAATTGATTCCAATTCGGCCAAAATATCGCTTTTTAACCCCGAGAAGAGGGGGTTTGGCGACTGATTAGGTTTTGGGACATTAGGCTTTGGTTCATCCGTTTTTTTAGCCGATCCCGTGGTTGATTTCCCCTTTTTTCACCAGAAAATGCCACCCACCATTAACAAAACTAAAACCACTAGGCTACTAATTATTAAAATTATTGTTCTTGGCTTAATAACTCTTTTTCTGTTTAACATGATATTTATTTCTTATTCTATTGTATAATTGAAAATATTTTTATATATTTTTCTACTTTGTTATTAGGCTTCCTTAACAGCAACTATTTGTATTTTGTATTCTTTTTGACTGGTTTTGACTTCGGATATTTCACCAACTTTTTTCTTATCGAGAGCCATTCCGAGAGGGCAATCGTGGGAAATTCAGCCTTTATCAGGATCGGTCTCGCCACTGGTTAGCCGAACCGTTATTTCTTCGTTGGTTTCCAATAAACGGTAAGTAATAATTTTATCCTCCTCGTGGCTGGCTGCGGTTAATTTGGATTTTAAATAATCAATTTGTTCTTGGTAAATTAGTAAATTTTCATTCAACAAAATCCAGTCGCTATTTTCGGAACAATCTTTAGCCCCATAATTTTTTAATTTTTCTTTAGTGGCGAAAAAAATGTTCTCCAACTTGTGTAACCTTTCTTGTAGAGGAGTATAAGTTTCTCTAACTTTCTTTTTAGCCTCCGGCAAAATATCAGGTTTATTTTTAATGCTTCGCATAAAATATTCTTATCTATTTTTTACACTTTAACAATATTGTCTTTTATTTTTAACTTTTGGAAAATATTATTATTATATTACTTTTGAGCAACGAAACTATCTACTGGATAAGCATTCAGACTAGTAATTAATTTTTGCCCTTTGTAAAGTTGAATCCTTTTCTTTTTTTCGTCTTGAAGAAAATCGACTAAATCTTTTTTATTGTATCAGCACACCACTTCTTCGGCTAATAGATAAATCTCGGACTTGGCTCGCTTGTCAATCAAAAATACTTTTTGTAAATGGGTTGGAATAATCTTGACCGCTTTTTTGGTTTTTTTGCCGATACATTCCGAACAAATTCTTATTTCTTTATTTAGGGCTTGGAATTTAGGACATTCCAGGCGGTTTTTACTGGACTGTTTATTTAATTCTTTCAATTCTGCTCGTAATTTTTCCAACTTTTTAGCACTAGGTTTGGCGGCTTGCTGTAATTGTCTAATTTTTTCTTGTAATCCTTCTTTCTCGTGCTTTTTCTTATCACAACAATTATTCTCCTCGTGTTGAATTTTTAATTGCTCGTGTTGAGGACAATTTTTCCGACAATCCGCACATCTTTTGGTTTTCTCTTCGGCATTTTTCAACTCTTTTTTCTTTTTGTCACCCTTTTCTTTCCATTCTTGTTGTTTTTGCCTGTTTTGGCTTAATTCTTCTTCGTACTTTTTAATTACCTCTGGATTAACTTGTTCTTTTTGTGCCCGCCCTAACACTTCTTTTAATTCATTTCCTCCTTTTTTTGTGGCTTTTAATTTTTCTCCAATACTTTCTCAACTTTCTCTTAACCTGCTAATAGAATTTTCGTGCTTATCACAATATTTAGAAATTTCTCGCTCTTCGACTTTGAATTTCTTTTTTCCTTTCCCGCCCCGCTTTTTGGCTAATTGGAAAACCGCCGAGAGGGATTTTTTTACTCCACTTTTATCTTCGCGAACCGCTAACAAATTGAACTCATTTTTCGGTAATTCTTTTTCCACTACCAAAAAGTTAATCATTTCATCTTTTGCTTGGCCTGGCGCAGTAGGCGTTACCTTATTACAGTCCGGACAATTTCTAATTTCTTTATTTATCTCTTTTCCACGCGGGCAACGAAGTGAGGCACCTAGTTGACTCTTATCACAACAAGAAGCGGCTTTGTGCTGCTCGAGCAAAGTTTTGTGTTTAGGACAACGAGTTTTTTGACTGCCATCTTCTAACTTAATAGCAGTAACTCCATAAGCAGCCCGACCGAAGTCCCCAGCCATTTTCTCAGCAAAACTTTTGCTTTTTCCCTGCTTGGTAAATACCATTATATCATCATTTCCCGAAGTAAAGGCGACTTGACTAATTTCGTCGCGGTGCTTGGCTATATTAATTATTTTTTTTCCTCCTTTCATTACTCTACCAATTTTTTCTAGAGATAAACGCTTAATTTTTCCCTTCTTTGTACTAATTACTAAATATTTTTCTTTTCTCTCGACTGTAGTTAGAAAGTCTTCGCGGACCGAAATAATTTGTTCGATAGTTTCCCCCTCGGCTAATTTCAACATTCTGCTCTCTCGTAAATTAATACTTTTATCGGCCAATTTGTAAACTGGGAGAATGTAGATTTTTCCAAGGTTAGAAAAACACCATAAATCATCCCGCCGATTAGATTTAATAATGGCTAGATTTTCCCCGCGGGTTTTTAATTCCTTACCTACACTCGGAATATTAGTAGCCTCCAAAGAATTAATTTTGTAAATATTTAAATAACTAGGCAATTTTTCTTTTTCCCCCGTTTCCGACTTGGTTTTTTTCTTTTCACCACGGCTGAGAATGATAATGATTTCTTCGGGAGCAATAGCTTTTCTTTCATCAATCAAGTGAGAATCGGAAATGATTTGGGTGCGACGATGGTCTTTCTCGTAATCTTTTTTCAATTGTTCTAAGTCTGCAATTAATTTTTCTTTACGTTTTTCTTCGCTAGCAACTAGTTGAGCCAATTTTTCATTCTCAATTTTTAAATCGGTTATTCCCTGAGTTAAATCAGCTTGTTTTTCCGGCGTAAATTGACGAAAACTAATCGACATGCTTAAAATGTTCTCGATTTTGATTTTTCCTTGTTTAATTTCAGCGAACTTTTGTTTTAATTGTTCGTTACGTTCTTCTTCGGTCGGGTAACCTTTAATTATTTCCGCAATTTCTTGGTAATTATTGATAATGAAGAGACGTGTATTTAAATTAACTAATTCTTTTTCATTTTCTTTTCAGAGAAATTGGGATTTACGGCGAATATTTTCTAGACGATTGTTGACAAACGCTTGTAAAATTTCCGTCAAAGAAAAAATCTTAGGATTTTCGCCTACCAAGGCCCGCATTTTAACGGAAAAACTGATTTGCAATTGTGTACTCTTGTATAATTTATTGAGAATTATTTGTCCGTCGTGTTGTTGAGCATCGAATTCTAGGCGAATATCAGTAATCCCCCGATTAGAATAATCAACAATTTTCTTTAATCCAGCAATTTTTTTGTCTTCATCTTTAATCTTGATTAGATCGGCAACGCGGGCTACGAGAGCCGATTTGCTGACTTTGTAAGGCAATTGCGTAACTCAAATGATATTGCGAGCCGTTTTTGCTGTTCCGGCTATTTCTCGGCCAAGTTTGACTTCTTGGGGCGACAAAATTTGAGCCTTGGCCCGTAAATGAATAGTGCCTTCGCCTTTTTCGTAAATGCTAGGTAATTTTTCTTTCTCTAAAACATAGCCACCACCGGGGAAGTCGGGTCCTTTTAAATCGTGAACTAATTCTTGATTAATTTTCTTTTTTAATTGAAGGAGATCTTCTTCGATTTTTTTTCTTTCGGTAATTAGGCTATTATACTGTTCCTCAATTAATTGTTTAGACGCAGCATTTTCTGTTTCTTCCCTTTTAAAATCAGTAGCGATGATTTGCTGATTCTTACTCTGTAAGTCTGTCTGTAATTTCTGAATAGAAATTAAATCCGGATTACGAATTAAGTTGATAGTGGCTGTCAAAGTTTCTCCTAAATTATGAGGAGGAAGATTAGCAGTCATTCCCACCGCAATGCCGCTGGATCCGTTTAATAACAAATTGGGCAGGCTAGTTGGCAAAATAACCGGTTCTTCTTTGCCCTTGCTATCGTCATAATTGTTTTTTCAGTCCGTGGCTCCGTAAGCGATATCTTCTAATAAATGAAGTGCATAAGGAGTTAATTTCACCTTAGTATAACGCATAGCTGCCGGAGGATTTTTGTCATAACCAAAATTGCCCCGACCATAAACTAATGGATACCGAAGTTTATCAGCCCGCACCATGTTCGTCATAGCGTTGTAAATACCTTGGTCACCATGGGGGTGCCAATCAGACATAGTTTTACCCACAATATTAGCCGAAGTTGTTTCGGCTTTGTTGGGAGTAATTCCTAGTTGGTAGAGAGCGAAAAGGATTCGGCGTTGTACGGGCTTTAAACCATCGTGTACATTTGGCAAGGCCCGATCCTCGACCACGGCGTAGGCATAACGGAGAAAATTAACCAAAGCCAAGTGCCCCATATCAATTTTTTGGTCTTCACTGATAGTTAAAGTAGCTTCTCGATAACTCCTCTTTTCCAAGTATTCTTTACGTTTGTCGCTCTTGGTTCCCATTAGCCCCCGGATTATTTGCTCGTCCTCGGTCCAGTTAGCAATATTTACGTTATACAAACGCCGTCTTTCAGGGTCCATGGTGCTTTCAAATAATTCCGAAGCGTCTATCTGTCCTAAACCTTTAATCCGCTCAATTTTTCGTTCTTCGCGAGGGTGGTCTTTCAAATAAGTTTCTAATTCTTGATCGCTATAAAAATAATGGATCTGCTTTCTGGCTTGGACTCGATAAAGTGGAGGTACTGCTACAAATAATTTTCCCCCTTCAATTAAATAAGGCAAGTGTTTGAAAATAAAAGTTACTAATAAGATAACGATATGTGCTCCGTCGTCGTCCGGGTCAGCCATCAAAATGATTTTTCGAAAATTGGATTTGCCTAATAAACTTTTGAGAGTTTCTCGAACAATAATGGATACTTGCCCTAAATTAAGTGGAGTATCGGCCGCAATTGCCTTTTTTTTGCCTTCTTCTTCGTAAACAAACTCTTCCGGCAAAGTTAATTCTTCATCAAGCACTTGTTTTTCTAATCAGGGGCGAAAGCGAACATAATTGTTTTTCAAAAGTCCCTTGGTGTCGGCAAATCCCAGGGCTAACAGAATGTTATAGATTTGCTTATTTTGGAGAACCCGTCGCACTAATTTCAAAGCGTTGGGCGGTTTACCTTGGAGAGCGAGAACGGTCTGGGTTTTAACGTCCCGACCTTCTTCAGCACTACCACCCGCCGATTTACCTTCGACAAAAAATATTTCTTCGTTTTCTTCCGAACCGGATAATACTTTTACTAAGTCAAGCGTTTTTTTTCCACCTTGAAAAATATCTTGCTCTTCTTTCAAGTGTAGTCGCAATTTAGCGTTATCGATAATCTTCTCCTTAATAATTTTAGCCGTGGCAGCATTGTCTTGAAAAAAACCGCTTATTAATTCTTGGGTCAATTTTTTGGTTTTTTCGCGGACTTCCCGATTAGCCAATCGGTCTTTGGTTTGTCCGGCAAATTCAGGGTTTTTAATGCGAACCGATACCAGCGATGTTAAACCTACCAAAATATCGCTCGTCTCAATTTCTAAATTGGGATTATCCTTGATGACTAATTCTTTGCAAATTTCAAAAAGACCACTCTCAAAGCCGCTAACATGGGAACCACCGCCACCGGTGCGAATATTGTTACAGAAAGAACGAATGTTATTTTTGTCATAACTGTCCTGATACTGAAAAGCCAGACTTAATTGGAAATATTCCGAGGCTTTTTCCTCGCTCACTACCTGGTGAAAAATTTCTCCTAAAGTTGTTTTGCTGGTATGGAGTTCTTCAATTCAACTCTTTAGGCCGCCTGTAAAATGATAGACGATTCGTTCGGCCGTGGGAGAAGTAGCAAAATATAAGGTAAGATTAGGATTTAAATAGGCTATTTCTTTTAAACGTCGCTGAATGGTTTCTACTTTGAAATAGGTAAATTCCTTGAAAATTTCTGCATCGGGAGTAAATTCTACCAGTAGGCCGTTACTTCGTTCGGGAGTGTCAGTAATTTGCGAAGAAGTTAATTTTCCTTGTTCATAAATTATGGTTTCGGTCTTTCCTTCACGGCTACTTTCTACATGTAAAGTTTTAGAGAGAGCATTAACCACCGTCACCCCTACCCCATGTAGTCCACCGGAAGTTTTGTAGGCTTTGTTGTCGAACTTTCCTCCTGAATGAAGAACCTCAAAAATGGTTCTCAAAACGCTCATTTTAGTTTTGGGATGAGTTTCAATAGGGATGCCCCGTCCGTCATCCTTGATAGTGATAGTAGTTTGATCGGCAGAGAGAGTAATTCAGATT